TGTTCCTTTTCAAGTTTTATTAATCCTGGTTCAGAATTTCCACCACATCATTAGTCATTTCCTATTTCTGAAGGGCTGGCAGCAGTCGCCAAGGCATCAGGCAGTAAATGGCCAGATAACCGTGCCACCTGTGTGCGTACTGACAGTTACCCACAACCGCATCTGGCTGAGAGGCTAATGTGCTTTTTCTAAGAGGCAAGCCATTTAGAAGTGCAGCCCAGTTTTTGATCTCTTGCTAAATACTTTTATCCACACCGTCTCCCCATCTGCGCCTGGAAGTCATCATGTGACCCGCGGCACTTTGAAAAGAAGGCAGCAACAGCAAGTCTGCCATAACCCCTGAGCAGCAGGAGCTCTCGAACCCCTCCCAACAAAGGGAGCCAATCCTGTCTCCAGCAAGGAGAACTCCAGGAGCTGAAGTGTAAAGAAAGAATGGAAAGTGACAAGAATTATGTCCACAAGAAACCTTTTTTACAAAGACACAGATGAAATGTAATTTATAAAGAACTTGAGAGCTGACTAGTAAGACGAATTCCATGGGGGTTATACCCAGTTCATAATGTCATGGAGACAGCCACACAGCCAAGTGGCTTCTCCATATCCTGACTCCCTAAGGTAGAGAGTCTCTCCAATACAAAGGTCTCAGGAGACTCAGTGACAGGCTGCGGGAGCCTTATCTCTATTACAAACCTAGCATTTCAGGGATACAAGCTTCAGTTCTGGGCACCAAAGAGAGTGCTAACAATGGAAAAAGGTACATATCAGCTTGTTGGCCAAGCCCCTGGCTAGAGACTATCCAAACTGTCTGGAGAGCTACGATTGGTACTCAGAAACTTCTGAGCCTGCATTTCCACTACTGGCCATGCCCATATGAAGGACTGTCAGGGAAATACAAATAAAGCTCATCAGAGGATATTTTAATTTTTAAAAGGCTAAACCCTAATACCTGGCTCTTAAATAGCATTTCCATCTGGATAATCCCAAGCACTTTGCCAAAAGTTGGATAATCACATCCCTGCTAAGCAAAAAGGGAAGTTCTCAAGCTTAATTGCATCTCTCATGAAGAACAGAAAACTGAAGGCAGCAAGTCAAGGGGAATGTGTAACTTTTTCCTCATTACTATTCAAAACAGAGAAGTGGTCTCTTCTTGGAGAACTACAGCTTTGAGTGCCATTCTGAGTATTACAACTGAGCCAGGACAAGGGTTCATATAGGCAAAATCCCCCCACCTTCACCACCCTGTCTGCCAATGGTTGTACCAGGAGGTGGTAAAAATGCAACCCCACGGAGTGTAGTATCAAATACCATAGGAACAGGAGTGGAAAAGTCAGAGACACTGAATCCTCTGTTCTTTTTTTCTTATACTTAACACTGGTCCTTGCTGTTACCAGTCTCAAGGGACAAGAAGCATCAAAACACATCCTATTACATTTTAAGGAGCCTGTTCTTTTTTTTTTAATTTTAATTTTTTTAGTATATTAGTCACCATACAGTACATCATTAGTTTTTGATGTAGTGTTCCATGATTCATTGTTTGCGTATAACACCCAGTGTTCATTGCAATACGTGCCCTCCTTAATACCCATCACTGGGCTAACCCGTCCCCCCACCCCCTCCCCTCTAAAACCCTCAGTTTGTTTCTCAGAGTCCATAGTCTCTCGTGATTCGTCTCCCCCTCCCATTTCCCACCCTTCATTTTTCCCTTCCTTCTCCTAATGTCCTCCATGCTATTCCTTATGTCCCACAAATAAGTGAAACCATATGATAATTGACTTTCTCTGCTTGACTTATTTCACTTAGCATAATCTCCTCCAGTCCCATACATCTGGCCTCTTTTGATATCTTGGATACTTTGCCGAAATGACTAATATTCAAATTGGAGTTTTTCGGGGCACCTTCCCACAGGTTCCAAACTGATCGAGTGGCCTTCAAAAATGCCCCCCCTTCTTCTTAAAAAGGCTCAGCCAAGCTCTGTATGATCAAGACACAAAACAATCCCTTATCGTGTCGGAAGTAATACTTGTGGTTATCTAAAGCAACGGTAATCATATCATACACTTTATCTGTGACTGCCTTTTTCCTTCCAAGGGTAGGAATAGAAACTTCTTCTCCTTCATAATGAGCACTATTGAAACTGCAGCAGGCAGACTCGGCTTTTGGCAACATGCCATTCCCTCGCATAAGCGTGTTCTCATCTCAAAAAATGTAACACGGCAGAGAACAGGTACAAGTACTTTCTGGAAGTGTTGTTTGTGAAGGGTGACTTGATAACAGAGATTGTTTGTGTTAGGGCCTTTTTGGCCTGTATGGTGAACAAGAACTTGCAGTGCTGGTGCCAGCCCGGTTAACCCAATAGGACTTTATGTAGGGTTTCCGGGGATAGGGCCCGGGAAACAATACGGGCCTTTTCCCTCGTAAATGCCGCTACACCATGAGAGATAAGCACTCTGCTGTTTAATCCATCATAGCTCCTTTTGCCAGATATTGTGGCTGTCAGCGCACCACATCAAAACATATGCTCGATCAGATTTGCAGCACTAGCGAGGTCTTTAAAATAAAATTATCAAACAGCATCATTTATTGAAGATGACAATCCAACCACAGTCTCTGTGACTCATCAGACACGCACACACTACAGCATTCGGCATACACATCAGCCAGGGGCCCTACAGGTCAAGCCCTCTGACGAGGGAACCAGCACTGGCTACAAGAACTCATTTTCAGGAGAGAAGTAAAATGCAGTTTCCTTTCGAAAGAGGGAGAAATTTCCATTTTTGCTTGTCAGATTGGAAACCTGGAGCACAGGGCCACAGAGCTTAGCAAATATTGGCCCAGAAGAATGAAGGATATGGATTTTAGTTTCCTCATGCTTCCCCCCGCGCTCCCGGGAATGTGTCCCAGTGCCCCTTGCCCTGTCCCACAGACTTGCCTCTCACTGCAATTTTTGTCCCTGCTCTCTGACTGACTATACTATACTATCCTACTGACGCAGGAGCCAAGAGGTAAAATCAGCTCCATTTGCCCATATAGTTTTACTTCGGTGAATGAATTTGCTAAGGGTGAAACAAAGTATTTTAATGCCTAAGACAGTTGTGGGTTTGTTTTGTTTTGTTCTTTAAGTAGGCTCCCCGCCCAACATGGGGCTTGAACTCACGACCCTGAGATCAAGAGTTGCATGTTCTATTGACTGAGCCAGCCAGGCGCCCCAGTTGTAGCTTTTATATCTCCTTTACTGGGCTACTATCTTTGCCTTTCTGCAATGTAAATATATTACAAAATGACATTATGTATAATGCAAAGATAATCCAAAGTACTTGCTCTCCTTTAGAAGGAAATTGTACAAATCAAATTTATACAAATATGAGTTAAGCCAAAGCATAGACACTGTAGTGAAATCTACAGAGTATTTTTAGAATATTTCTGCTATATGTAGAAATTTTTCTATTAGATTTCTATTTATAATAAAAATAGAGTTTATCTTATTTAAGCGTTAATTATTAAATTATGTGCAAGTTTAGAGACCAGGCCATTGAAACATATAAAGGGCAGTTATTGAAAGGTTATCTTAACCAGCTGTTGTCAACCTCCATTCAATAAATAAGAAGCAAAAAATTTAAAATACATTGAAAGATTAAATGAAAGGAAGAACTTCCCGACAGTGAAAAATGGTAAGTAACTAAACTCCACAACAAATGTCCAAAATTTCTATTCCCAAGAAGCTCTAAGTTTGCACCGCCTTGGATGGTTTAAAAATTGTGTTGAAGTCATGAGGAATTATTTTAGATTGCTTATTGTCATCCCTTCCAACAACACAGGCCTTCCATCAGCACATACACCTGCATGTGGCTGCCTGTCAGGGAGTTCACAGTCAGAAGCTAACCCTAGAGAATGGACTTGATCACTTTAAATGTCACATTCATAAACAAAATACACGCACTTTTCTCTAAACTTCAAGATGGCTGCAATAACCACTCAGATTAAAAGCTGATATCACAGCCCAGCGAGAAAAGAAATTACCAAGAAGATTTCTGATCTATAGAGAAATACAAAAGGCAAATGGGCTCCTGAAAATAAGAGTTATTTGTTCCTAAACCCTGCTTCTTTGCTTGGAGCTATTTCTTAAGAAAGAAACTGCTTCCTTCCCTAACCATATAAAACAATCCCTGAAGTTATTTATAGTGTTCATGGCCCGGAGGCATCACTTGGTTCCCCCACCACAAGCCCAACCATGTGTTACTATATTAAAAAATGTGAAAAAGTAATTATGGGGTATGGGAGCCAGTGTCTGCAGACACAACCTGCCAAAGAGGAAGTGACAGGAAACTTACGCTCCTCGTTGCTGCTCAAGCACTGCCCAGGCTCCAGGCTCAGAAGAGAGCAATCTGTTCCAAGAAGTAAGAGAGGAGCCTGCCCTGGTGAATCAGAAATATCCCTGTTTCTGAATATACAGTAAACTGGTTTCCATTCCCAGGTCCCCTTAGTTGGTCAGACTTTCCAGTCACGTGGAGAGACCACTCACGGCATCCTCCCTCGGCAACTCAGCCAGCTGCCTGCCTCAGCTCCCACCGGACTGGGTAGACTGGGACATGCAAGGTTCTAGACTTGGGTGAGAGTTGGGCCCTAAAGTCCTGCCCTCCCACTCTCAGATCCTGATTTCTGCCACCTTGTCCTCAATCAGTTTCGTTGTTCCTCTCCCCACCTCCAACCCTGGTTCCTTGCCCTCATGTAGAATGGGATGATCCATCTAATAGTGACTTCTGGACTGGGGTCCACACATTCACAACTCCCTCAGCTGTTCCCTTGGAAGATGGGCTCTGTCACCATTAGGACACCCATGCTTTCTAGCCCTGGAGGCAGAGAGGAAAATTCTTCCAAATATCTGCTCCCGAGAACAGAAATTCATCAGGGAGAAAAGTCCACATTTCTGGTAGAAAGACAGTGTTCCCAAGAGGCCTCAGCTTACGAAACATTTATTGAGAGAAATTACATTTCCTCCCCAGGACCTCCATCTGCCTCTGGTCTAATCTACAAAAGGAGTTCCCTTCTGATGTCTCAGGAAAAAAGAGACAAGTGCCAACCTTCAAAAGAGAGCCTTGGAAAGTTCCTGCTATCTCAGGAAGGCTTCACTTAGAAGTAAGTAATTGTTGCTATCTCTTTATTCAACTTGACCACCTACATGTAGCACTTCCAAAGAAGCAAAAATTTACACACAAAGTGTCTTCTAAAAATCGGTTTACAGAAATCTCTTTCAAATAAAATTCTGAAGAAAAGAAGAGTCATAGATGACTGAGAATGTGGAGGATAAAGGAAGTCAGGAAAATGTCCTCACTACCTCCTTCATATAGCTAAATAAATTGCATTAATCATTAACATGTTTCCCTAATGGAAAATATTCTGTGAGCATGAAATGTAGTTTTATATTATAAACACATCAGGCTTGAGTTCCTAGTTCACATTCTGCAGCTTTAGAATATGAGTAAATATTGATTTCTAAATTCCCTAAATATCCTCCCTTCAAGTTTGTGTTTTGACTCTGGGCAATAGCATATATGTAGAATTTAAACAGGTATCAATTGATGCAACCTGAAAGCAAACTTTAAAAAATCAGAGAGAATGTTCTTATAAGGCTAACCCACACAGCTTCCCACATTCAGATTCTGAGATGCCCTGTGAACCTCCCTGAGAGCTGAAGAGGAGCTCAAGTCATCTCATCACCCAGTCTTCCCCCCAAGCATCTTTGCCTCTTAAATGCCAGTTTCTTCACCACTGTAGTGTCCACAGCACCACCTGCCGATTGTAGGCAGTATCTCGCTGGCTCCCCGCTCTCCCTTCAGGGATTTGCTTAATTCAAGTCAATGGATGATGGCTAGAAAACATACCCTTAAGAAATAAGGAACATACCCTTAAGAAGCAATAAAAGAATCTATAAGATGAGCAAGATACCAGTTCACAGAAGCTAACATGACCCAACATGTTCTCCTGAGGCAAAAGACTGGCTCTTTTAAAGGCAATATTTAAAAAGTTAAACCTATTATTTGCAAATTTGCTTCATGCAGGTTGGCAACAGGGCTCTGTGTGAGAATATTTTTTAGAATATTAGACTAAAGGCCTCAAAATTTTTCAAGATTCTATACTTTCTTGTACCCACCAATCCTGGACTTCTACTTTCCCCCTTTCTTAGAGATGAGTATCTTCTACTTTTAAAAGATACGAAATTTGCCATCATAATTGGTTAGATAGGAATAAAAACTTTAACTCAATCCCTTGACTTTGATTCTTAGCAGTTCCTTCTCCACCAAAAGTTATAGCACCCCCCACCACCAGCAATCTGGAATCTGTGAGCCATCCACACAAGATAGAGACCAAAGTATCTACAGGCATGTGTGAATGCAATGCCCCTCCTCCCATACTCAACCTTTCAGATGGTTCAACTATTTCCCATGTGTCAACAATCTGCCATTTGCATCTCAGGACTTAGCGGGGCAAAAGATAAGAGAGGATAACCTTTAGCACCCACAACTAATGAATATGAATGAGGTCATTCTTGCAAGCTTTACTGGGGGACAAAGTAACACACAGGGAAAACATTTTTTGTTTCAAGGCTCCCGACAAGCATTAGCTAATCAAGTTTCCTAACAATCCCCTGGGGCCTAGACTGGCAAAGAATCATTATCCCTCCAGCAGGTAGGCAAAACAAGAAGCCCAAAGGTTACCATTTCGACATCATTCTGTGTCATGGATATCCTGAAATCACACTGGAAAAAAGGTGCTGCAAGATGCTTCTCACTGACTGTTAAGTACAAAGCGAGAAATATGCCCAAATTGGGGGGGGGGAAGCCTGAAAGTTTGGAAGAGTACTGAACCAACCAGTATTTGGTAATGATCTTATCAGAGCAGATGATTTTAGAAATGTAGAGCTCGACCTACAGCTAATAAGATTTAGATTGTAACTGAGTAATAATTTTAAAGAAAAGAAATTTCTATACTTATCAGTTTAAGATTTATTTGAAGTGTTGGTTGAGTTTCTTTTTTTCTCCCCTACTCGTTCCTAATTAAAGGCTAAATATGGAAACTAGAGATAGAGGATAAATATCACAAATGTGATATTTGAGCTCTGGCATAGTATTCCATTTTAATTTTGTTTGCATTTGCTTTGCTCTCTTTAAAAGTATAAACTGGACCCTGACATTTTCCTGTCTTCTTCCAAATTCAGGAACTATCACATTTTCTTTTTTTTTCTTTCTAAGTCTATAAACTTCAAAATATTTTCTGCCAAGTTGGCAAAGCTCCAATCAGCCCTTCACCACTGCAATTAAAGTGATTTTCCATCTGAATATAACGCTGACAAGAGAGACATTATAAGAGTTCTATATAAATCTATTTTAATAGAGAAGTTCCTTCACTGAGCATATTTTTATAGTCATCACAAACATGTATACATCCCCACAAATATTCAGATTATTTTAGGAATTATGAGTTAAAATGACAGCAGTGGTCACTATCTAAAAGGGAAGCTGAATTTAGGATCCTCCTTTGAAAGCAAGCGGTACCTAGAAAGAAAAAAAAAAAAAAGTAGAAGGGGCCTTTTATTTCTTTTAAAGTTGATATAACATAAAACAAACTAAAGCCATGGTCGAGCCGGCCAAAGTCAAACAATATATCACCTCCCAGGAGATGGTGCAGCAGGGAATGCTGTGTTACAAAGCATTATTCTCATGTCGTCGCTGCTTCCAGAAAATGCTCAAAGCTCCAACGTTTGTTCACTCAGTACAGGATTCACTTCTCAGCTGAGGAGGACCTTAGGAACAGTACACTTAGCACTCAGCAGTTATTTGACCTATTTTACTAATGTGTTTGGGAAGGAGGTTAATTAACAGTGGATGGCTATATCCTTAAGCTTAATTTTTCCAACAACCCTGCTCATAAAAGGAAAAATTGAGTATGTATTGAAGGAAGCAAGCAATTAAGTTGCACAAATAGTGAGCTCATTGAACTGCAGCTGACTTCTATCATGTCAAAGAACAACTAAACACAGAAGCAATAAAAAGATTGTTGCCACGACCACCACTGAGAACCGACTGGCAATAAAGATGAATAACTTCCTACTTGAAGATTACTTGATTAAAGCTCTTTAGAAACCGAATGTTACACATAGGCATAAATGGAGCAAAATATTTTAATGCGTGTTTGGCAGGTTCAGAAACATTTTATAGTCAATTTTAAATGAAGGTTTATACAACAACAGTAAACTCCACTTAAAACAGCCTTTCCAACTGCTGTTCTTGCAAGCAAGCTGCTGTGTTCCCGGGGAAACCGTGAACTGTACTGTGGGATAAAAGTCCCATACCTAACAGAGTAAGGGGAGGGCCATGGGGAGTGGAATTCCACAGACTGGGTCCTCTGAAACCAAACCCAAGAGCAGAGCCAGAGAAGCCCATTCAGATGGCTGTGACCCTTGAAGGCAAGTAAACAGACTCCCTGTACCAATAACCAGGAAATCTCTCTCTCCCCAGCAACATTCTGCTCCCCTGCCCACCTCCCAAAGCTCAGAAAGGTCAAGTTTTAGCCCAAGCTGCCCTTCAAAAAAGTGTACTCACATCTAGGAGTTCAATACAGGTTGGCATCAGAACTGGCTCCCAGGACTATCAGTGTCAGCGAGGTGGGACAGGCATGATTTGACAAGGAAAATGTGTCTGATGGACGATTCGGCTCTCAACTTACAAGTGTCTATGGACGTGTCTGGAGAACATCAGCCTCTTTGAGGGCTAGACCCCAGCACTTACCTGCTGCCTTTAGGGGGAATACCATGAAGAATTATAAAAGACGAAAAGGATGAGGATTTTGCCACGAAAGCTGCTGATAAGCTAACATTTAAAAGGAAAAAGAAGAAGCTGCCCTTTGCATTGCTGCCCTCAAACCCACTACTGTGGAGAATTTAAAGCCAGTCAGTCTATCACAAATAAACCAGTCCGCCACCTCATCTCAATCCTGCTCACCCGCCCCTACCCCCCCCCCCCGCCCCCAACTACTCCCATCTCTAAAAGACTGAGGAGGGCGGACGCTGGGCTTTTCTTCTAAGCATTTCCCCCTGATGGGGCTTTAAGGGATCAGAGCCCTGAGATTCTGATAGTGGGCCTCCCCCTTCCTCAGTTCCAGCCCTCTCTTCCCCCACTCAGAAACTTCGCAGTGAGCTCCTATGGGGCTCTTCTTCTTTTTGTTCCACACAGCACCCTTCAGTATGCTGGGTATCTGGTAAGTGTTTAATGCATGCTTTTGGGCTAGAATCAGCAGGAAAGGCTCATACTTATGTCCTTTTTGAAGATTTATTTTATCTTAGCCATTCTTGTTGAAATAATCAAGGGAATCGAAACTAGAGAAGCAAGTTTGTGCAACAACGTAAAAAAAAAAAAAAAAAAAGCATAACATTCTCAATTTTCTTGGATGGAAAACGACCTAAAATGGCCTGAAGAAGTTGTTAAGCACATAAAGCACAGGGTCCCTTAACTTCACAATCTAGTTAGATCCACCCTTTACACACTATTTTCTAGAGATTCAGAGGTGAATTTGCTGCCCAGAATTTTTAAATATTTGATTTGGGGAATTCTAACTGCAAACCAAATTCATACTGCAAACTCTGGAAGAGCTTTATCAATGAAAAGTAGATATTTACGGGGCACCTGGGTGGCTCAGATGGTTAAGCATCTGCCCTAGGCTCAGGTCATGATCCCAGGATTCTGGGATTGAGCCCCAAATCGGGCTCCTGGCTCAGCAGGGAGCCTGCTTCTCTCTCTTCCTCTGCCTCTCTCCCTGCTCATGCTCTCTCTCTCTGTGTGTGTGTCTCAAGTGAATAAATAAAATCTTTAAAAAAAAAAAGAAAAGTAGATATTTACAATTTTAGTAACACTCTTCCTCACCACTGTTCGGGAGGACTAGTCATTGGATATGTGGCATGCAAATCTGATGAAGACATAAGTGAGGAAAGAGCTTGAATATTTATATAAATTCTACTGCATGTGCAGGAAGGAAGTTCAGTGGCACACTCCCTTCCTTCCATTTCAGTGTCTCCACCGTAAAGCCTTGCATGGTCTTTGAACTCCAGGTACTTCACTAAGACTTTCTAAGCCTGTGCACGAAAATTCTGGAGATGGAATGAATTGTACAGCACCGGAAGGGGGGTGGAGAAAGCAAGTAACAACCATTCAGAGATGGGAACCGTCTGCTCTCTGGAAACCCCTCCAGGCTTAGGTTCATATCCAAGCTCCAAAGTCCAAGAGTCTTCAGTCCCCCTGCATTAAGAGAACAAGAACAATGCCTAGGAAAGCCCACTGTTTCCTTCCTCATGGAGGAGAGGAAGCAGCAGAGGTAGCAGACGCCCATGTGCAGCCATCACTTCCTCGGGGGCTGGTGTCCATTTCCACCCACTGGATGTAGTCTGGCAGCTTCATAACCGGCAGGAGATACATGATCCAAGAATCCAGTTTGGCTCCAATTCTAGCCTTGTAAAGGCCAGTTCTGTCTATGTCTGAGAATCCTTATAAGCATTAGTAAGGATTTCAAATTGCCGCATCCTCAAGAGTATGGCCAGAGAGAGAGGAGTTAGGTCAAAGGGTCCATCTTGAGTAAAGCTCAAGATACTCTTCAGAAATACCTTGAGATTAGGTAAAATAGAAATACATTCAGAAGTAAGAGAAAGAAAATATACCTTTTCTTCTCTTCCTTGGAGGAGTCACAGTGTGTCAAGGCCCTAAATCAAAAGCAAAATAGGGTATAATTCTAACAATGGAATCGAGAGCAAATGGCTATAACAAGTTTGTTCTTCAAGAAACAAAAGAAATGGTGTGTATAATCAAAGTGTATTTAAAATGTCAATTTAAGCACTATTGTTTTCTCCTTCAACCTTCCTCTCTTAAATTTCCTTATCTCAGTCATGGTTTCTCCATTTACTAACCACCTTAAAGTAGAAATTTCTGTCATTTATGTATCCCACCACATTCAATTCTAGACTTAGTAGGTTTCTTGGATTCTTCTCTTACTTCTGCTTCTACTATCACTGTCCTACATCATGTCATCTATATCTGGATTATTAGAATAGCCCCCACTGGGTCCCCCATCACCACTTGCTTTCTCTACTCCAAGTTCTTTGTCACATCTCTGACAGTTACCTTCCTAAGGTACAGTTATAATTGTGGTGCACCCTCTCAGTCCAAAAGCTTTTACTAGTTTTCTGTTTCCTTTTAGAATAAAGTCCAAATGTCTGAGCATAGCATTCAAGGCCACTAATAAATAGGAAGTGTTCTATACTTCAACACTTATCTGCCATTTCTCCTCACAGACAGCTAATGCTCTACCCAGAACAGATTCATCTCCTTTTCTGAATCTTGTCATGGGCTTTCACAAGTCTAAAACTTTGCACCTTTTTTTTTTAAAAAAGATTTTATTTATTTATTTGACAGAGAGAGAGAGAGAAACCACTAGAGAGGCAACACAAGCAGGGGGAGTGGGAGAGGGAGAAGCAGGCTCCCCGCCGAGGACCCTGGGATCATGACCTGAGCCGAAGGCAGATGCTTAACCAACTGAGCCACCCAGGCGTCCCTAAAACTTTGCACTTTTCCTCTAGCTTTATCTCTTCAAATCCTGCTTCTGCTCTAAAGACTAATTCAAATGTTACCACCTCCAGGAAGCCCTACCTGATTTCAAGGCAAAATAAATCGTTCCCTCCTCAGAGCACATATAACCCTTTGTTACAATATTTCTCCCAATCTGACGTGTATTCATTATTGTAGAATTTTCCATCTCCTCCTAAAGGATAGAGACAGTAGTTAATCCCTCTAAAGATGTTCTTGGGTGCCTAGCATAGTGCCTTAAATAAGGTAGGCATTTCATGAATGGTTCTTGTACAGAATTGTAGAGAAATGATTAATTTTCACTAAAAGCTGAACCATGGATAAAAGACCAAGCCAAGAATCACAATCAAGGAAGACTTGGAGGGAAGAAAGGAACCTCAGTATGCTACTCAAACTGAGGCCCATGAATAAGTTTTTCACAAAAGAATAGAGATGGCCTAATCCATTGCTTCTTAACATTTTTGTATTCACACATTCTTGTGAAGGGTTTGACTATGGTTGAGAACTGCCCTGGCCAAATGGGGAGACCACCTCTTTTTCAGCAGTAGAAACTTAAATCTGCATTTAAAAGGGTTCGATGAAGGCTCAACAGATAAACATCCCAATAAAATATTATATATCAAAAATATATAAATATATAATATACATATGTGTGTATATATATATATACACATCTAAGATATTGTTTCATTTAAACATCTCTACGTACAGAGATCTAATGATGTCTTAATAAAACAAATATTTAGTTCACATTTTTGCCATCATTCCAAAGAGGGGAAAAAAGCCAAGAACTAAAACTATCTCCTTAGCCTTATAGGCATTAAGTAATCAAATTCCCTGCTACTCAGAAATCTGAGACAGGCTTATTGCAGTTCTCACTCTCGCCTGGAATGAAAAAATGAACTCAAACTTCCAAAAGAAAACCATAATTTTCCAACATCTTCTCATACAAGTCTTGCCTCTCCCCTGAAACTTTTGAGTCAACTCTTCCTGAGATGAATCACGTTAAGAAATGAATCTCTTAATTGCACCATATAAGCTAAACAGTAAGCCATGACCTCATCACCCTGGATGTAATAAAAGGGCAGAGACACTCAGGCATTTCAACAACATCTTAATGCCTGCACTGTTCTGGTTTATTATAAAGCAGGCCTGTGTGCAGGAAGACATTTTTAAAAATGCTTTTATCTCTGGTTTACATGTTAGCAGATCTCATGGTCTCATATCTCTGCAGATAGAGGGCTGAACTGTACAAAAGTTAAGCAGGCAGGCCAATGAATTTACCTGAGAAAACAAGAAACCCAATCTTGAAAACGACACTTGGACTCGAAAGGAGCCAGGAGTAGAAGAACCTCAAACTCCACAATTACTCCCCAGTCTCAAGCTAAAAACAAAACCTGGAACTGAACTATCTGAATGCCACAGCCAGACTGGACAAGAAGCAATAGGGGGCTGGAGAAGAAATGGGGAGAAACACAGTACTATACCCCTTGGCCAGCACATCACTTTCTGACCCTTGATTTACCATGAGTCCTTCTTCTGATGAGTATAGTATCATTCTTATTTCGCTAGAAGTAGCATCAGTAGGTCCCATCTATATATGGAGACCTCTACAGAGTTCATCCCATATAAGCACAAATGTCTACCTACTCTGTACCTGGTACCGATGAAAAATTCTTAAAATGATGGTTCACTGAGAGAAATAAAGTATCTGGATAATTTTGCAAGAAAGTTCATCTTTGCGTATGGAAGAAAATGTATTTGTACCACATCTATGAGTAACTCCAAATATAGATATTTCAACAAGAGTTAGCACTTGAGCCTGTCAAATCACAAAATACATTTAACTTGGTTGGGAGAATAGAAATTGCCCCCAGTATACAAAGGAAGTACTGAGAGGTACAGCCACCGGGAGAATCAGCAGTATTCAATAATTCCAGAGGCTCAACCACTGACCTGGAGTGACTCTTCTTCCTCTGTATCATTTCCTAGCCATAGAACGCATTGTTCCAAGTGTTTTTAGATGGTGCTATCGATTGCAAAGAGCTGTGAGCTTGCTGTTTCGCATTCCACTGCTTATCGCTGTTGGGAGCCTTGACCAATGGGCCTTCTGTTCTGAGTGTCCCAGTTACAACGGAGCCTTTACCTCTAGACTGGGCTCATGGGAGAGAGCGGCAAAGTTAAAAACTTACCTGGAAGCACACAGCCCTGAGGTCATGGTGTCACTCATGCTGTAGCCCACAGAGAGGAGAGATGGCAGAATTTGAGTTTCACCATCTGTAAAAAAGGGAATAGTCACTTGAGTTCTGAGACTCAACTCAAAGCAGTGATTTACCAAAAGAATGCATCTACAGACAGACGCTCTGGTAAAAATTAGGCATATATTTTTTGAGAACTGTCCAGAAAGAGTTGAGCAGATTGTTAGCAGAAACCAGGAAGATTTTGCCTCATAATCAAGATTAAATCCCTTTCTGCGACTGTCAACATTAAGCTACAGTGTTTGTGATTGATGTGGGCTTGCAATTACTAAAATTAAGAAAGGTGCTTTGTTCTAATCAACTGTGGCATACACTATTTTCAACAATGGCATTTCTGCAAAAAAGGAAAAACAGGGGAAAAGCCTATTGTAAAAATATTTTATCCAAGTACCCTGAAACAGCTCCTTTCTGGGAAGAGCCTGGCATCTTCAGAACAGCACTGTCTCAATTCCAAAGAATTTAAGGAAGACAATACCCCAAGCCCCACATAGTTGATAAAGTTAGGATATATATCATTTAACAAAAGCATTGACCCTAGGGCAACATAAACCCACGAAACTTTCCTTTCTTCTTCTACCTGTTCAATGCCGAAAGACAGCACAAGGAAAGGAGGAAAGGGGTTTCAATTTCCTGGGGTCCCCTTCCTGATAAGAAAGTTCCTCTTTACAACGTAGGAATGAGGAAAAGCATGTGCATTTCTATAATTTCCAAGACACCTCTCGATTCCTTAAATAGAAAAGAGTATGTTGAGAACATTTCAAACCAAAACAGAACAATAACAAAAAGGTTGAACTTAATTTAAGTACAACATCAGCTGGTACTTCTAGAGGAATGGAAGGATGCTAAAGTAAGAAAAAGAGACTAAGTATTCAAGACCATGATAACAGTCCATGAGCTTCCTTTAATGCTAGCACAGGATGTTTTCTCATCAAACTTTAAGTACAGATGAAAACTGTATGCATATAAAGAATCGGGGACTGAGATACTCTCGTTTCTCTTTCTGTTTTCACTGTTTACAAAGCGACCTTGAGCAGCCCTCGTTTATCTTTGCGGCTGTTCGCTGACTTGTGGGGTTTAGATCAAGTTTTGATACGTGGGTCTTTAGCCGGCCACGAAAAGGCAGCTGGTCCAGAGGCCAGAATCAGGGAGAGAGAAATTGCAGGGCTTATCAAGTCATCCGAGATGCCTTGTTGTGCTCATCCTCTGTAAACAGTAAGACATGTCAGCATTCCTGGTTGCTGTCATTGCTGACAGTTCTCTAAAGACCAGTAAGTGTTGAATTCTTTAAAGTCGGGTTGCGCCCAGTGAGAGAAACGATAGTGTGAGATGAGGGGGACTTCATGGATATCTGAGTACCTTGGGAAAAGAGAGGAATTGAGGCTTTTCACTCAGCAACCTAATGAAAACTAGACAAATAGTCTTGCATTTAATATATAGTTTCCACCAATTCATGCTTCTTTTGTTAGGAACAATTCTACCCTCTATAGGAAAAGAGACAGTTCAAAATAAAGAAATAATTTCTCATTGACAAGGGGACCTTCAGGTAAAGCAATGCTTATGAAAAGCAAAGAAAGGATAAGAAATTGATTTTATATTGGTAAATTTCCGCTGCACAACCATTTCATTGCCTTAACTTCAGAGACCCCCAAAACTTTATGTCCTCAAACAAGTAATCAAATGCAAAAGGACAGAACTAAATAATCCATCTGGGATAGCCAGGACTGGATGCAAAATACAAAGAATAAAATACAAGTCTTTAAGGAATATAAATGAGCAATTGTGGCAAAGAAGAGAAGGACCTAAAAGTAAGTTACTAAAGCAGTATCTAGTGCTTATGGAATAATGAACTTCACATGCGCTGCCTTAAAATCCTTAAAGGTATCTTTTGAACAGAGATCTACTAGTATAAGTTAATATGATCACACACAGAAAAAAATCCTGATTCATAACATTACTCATCATTTCTAACTCAGACTTTGAAAATGTATAAAATGAAGATTAAACTCTTTTGATGGAAACAGATAATGTGTGTTGAATTAAAACAAAACCCACACGAGGTCTCAAAATCCCATTATTACAGCAATTGGTAATGTGTTATATTCAAGACTAATTTTGCCATGACATTTAAGTTCTAGATTTTGAGGTTAATAATGTTTCAGAGGAAAGAAAATTTCCAGTGTTTCTATCTTCTTCTTTCTAGGAAGATTTCCTAAACACATTTGCTCCATTAAATGATCTAAAATGTCTGAGGGAACAAAATGTCTTAGATCCACTTGTATAATATTAGGATCCAAAACTCTGAGAAGAATCATCCTTTCAGTATCAAATATATCCCTGAAATAAGGATCATCCGTACAAACGAGACCAGAACCTAAGGTTCCATTAATCTAACGGTATAGTTTTTAACTTGGAGTTTTACTTGTTTCTACATTATAAACACTATTTGATGATACCGAGTCATAAATTATTCTTCCCAAGTTTGTTCTTCTAGCCTCTTCTTCCTTGAGGCAGCCAGGCCATATCTTATACAGTTACAGGTTAAGCATCCAGCCTGAGAGTCCGTCTGAACCACAAAATGCAGAGAGCAATTTAAGACAAAATTTTGTAAATTTCTATTAACTAAATAAAAAGTCACCCCTGTTTACCTAATTTTCCTACAAGCAGAAAAACTAAAGGCCTATTGGCATGGCCTAGACAGACACTGCTGAGCAGCTTTCCAAAGAGCAAATGGTAAAAATAAAATAAAATGAAAAAGATTTGCCTGTCATGGGAGTTGGTCAATAAAATGCAACAGTGTTTATTACAACATTTAAAGTCTGTGATTAAGAACACCAAAAGGCCTAAACTAGAAAGGTTTTCAGCCTGTAATTTCCCTGCAGTCCTGGCCTGTACTTCCTTATGAGTTAGCTCAGCAGGGCTTTTTTCCATGTCCATCATCAGCTTGTAATTATTGCCATTCTCAAAGCTATGCCAGATGGGTCTTTAGAAGCAGGCATGCAGCTTGTTTATGAGAGAAAGAGCTGTAATATTACTCTACACAGAGACCTATCTGGTCCCACTCAAAGAGCCCTGCTCCTCCCTCCCCACCCCACCCCCCAAACCTACCCCCACGACTATTCTGTCTTCCTCCCCTAGACAGCCCTCTCAGTTTCAGCTCCCGGTCCCAGCTGAACGGCCTGGTAAAGGGCTGTGACCATGGGAGCCAAGAGATATCTCTATCTTCAAGCATATGGCCTCATCGTCACCTTTCACCATTCACATATGGAAATGAGGCCAACACCCAAGGGAAGGACGCACTGTGGACTCCTTCCCCTACATATTCTTGGGCAGAGGCTCTATTTAAAACACCAGAGCTGCATGTCTACTTTTCAGAACACCGATCTCCCTAGATACTACTGTGCGTTCCATTTCTCTTTCCTGGGAATTCCTCATTGGCTGGAAGTGAAATTCCCAGCAAGATTCTCAAGGACAAACCTTTACTCACTTTGTCCGGTAGAAGGATAAACATTTGTAAGAAGGTTGAGGTCAAGGAGCTGTACAAAGCAACACAGGCAAAAGCAAAAGCGCCTAACCGGGGGTTCATCTGGTGATAGGCCTGGGGTGTTAGGTATCCCAGAGGGCCAAGCAGAGCTTCAATCAGCAGTTAATGAGGCAAGACCTGCAACAGATAGCCACTTTTAACTTACAAAAGCTTTTAGATGTCTCTGTTTACTTTGATCCATTTCAGTTCATTTGAGCCTGGTTAGCGGGCATTTTCCTTTTTTTTTTTTTTTTCCTCCTTAGATAAACCCTCTGCTCCCACCCCATCTCTACCCCACCTCCCAAACAATAGTATCATTTACCAACTTTATACTTAAGTTTTGAGATCTTCTGTCAAGGTCGGCAACAATTATATAAAACACAAGGAGAGAAAGATCGGTACCACAGTCCGCCTATAGAATGGTAATTTCAAAATCCCACCAGTGAAAGATAAATGGAAAGGAGGACGGGAAAGGAAAGGCTGCATTTTCAGACAGATTTAGTTATTTGTTTCTGATTAGGTGAAGCACACGTTCTTTTAGCTCTTGTTATTTTACCCACGTGATGACCAGAGAGCTTTCTTTGTTAAACTGTTTCAGAGCCGATAAAACTAATTTACTGGAATGTGAAATAATCCTGAAAGAAACTGTACCTGATGGTCCCAGACGGGGAGATCACTTTAACTTGGCCGGAGCGCCCAGGTCCTGGGGCTGGGGCTGGAATTCCCAAATGGGAGGCAGAGAGAGCGCCTGCTCCGAGGGATTTGCACGTGGGTCCCCCTCTTAATGGGGATACTGTGGTGTAATGAGCTTTTAATTAGGTCGGCTTGGAGTCTGCCGCCACTGTACCGTGGGCCCGCGCCTAAAGGGGACCTCCCCACCCACAGGTGCAGCTAAAGGTCCTGGAACCCTTCCCGGCATGCCTTGGGTGAGCTCTCTATCCCGGCATGCCCCAGGGCACCCATCTTCCCAGCATGCCCTGAGGGGCCCTTCCTCCGACGTCGCCCCTTTCTCTCTTTGTTTATAGCGTCTGACGTACACCCTTTGTTCTTTCTCTCTCTCCTCTTCCTGTGCCACTTCCCAACACACCTTTTCTTTGTTCAGAATATCATATTTGAGGCAGGTGTGTATTTAAAAAACAGAACAAAACAAACCTCTGGTCATCTAGCCAGCAAAATTAATTTCACAAATACACATGGGCAAGTTTGGTTTGACATATATATTGCTCAAAAATATACTTTTCTCAAGTGAACCATATTCCTATTCCCCACTCCCCACCTGTGTCCTGACAGCTACATTTCCAGGAAGTATTCTGAAGACATAAAAGCTAGTGGAAGGAACAGGATGAAGTCTTTCTGCACTTCTACCCTTAAATAAATTGCAACTACTTTTAAGTATTCTATTTGAAATCCTGTCCAGTGAAGACCCTGAGGAATCATCAGGGAAGTAGAAGTTAGGAAACCCAATTTCTATTTTGAGTCCTTCTTGTTGAAAGGGGAAGGA